TTCCTTAAAACACAGCATAAACTCATCTCAAAGAGAAACACCGATCCATTTATTTACAACACACACACACACACAGACGCGCGTAGAATGAACTTGCAAAAAGTCATACGATTCGATAGAAAATGCGATATTTAATTTTTTTTCTTGTATAAAAGTATAAAAATACTTTGTTTTTCCTCAAAATAAAATTTGATATGATGAGTAAAATGAAAATATATTTGTGATCACAAAGTTCATATATGTTCACTTTCTGAAATGTAAAAATATATTCTGTACAGTTTACGTTAAAATAGAATGTCGTTGTTCAATGACTGATTATATTTGCAGACATCTTTGTTTTATGTGTTGTCATGTTAGAGATAAGTGTATCGCATTTGTGTGGAATAAGGATCATAGACGGCTTCGTTAACAGGCGTTGTCACCGTCGTCGTCGTCGTCGGAAGCAAATTCTCGTGAAAAGGCGCTTCAAGAGCGGCTAATGATGTGATATTTGTGTGGTAGTTGCCATTTTGTGGCTGGAATGTTGGCTGTCGGTCAGAGGCAAATACCATTTCTGTAGACACATAATTATACGTATTGGACCCAGGATACGTATAGCCAACTGTACTGGCAGTAATGCCATCATAAGCTGCGTAAATGTCCGTAGTTTGAGGGCTGCTTGGGCTTCGGTAGGGTGATCCCGATTCACTTCCGCTTCCGGTCGAAGAAGAACACTTATGCGCTTGTTGAATTATTTTAAAGTTGAATTTGTAAGTGTAACGCTTTCCTTGAACTTTGGTGAGAATTTGCTTTTCGTAATAATAACGAAGAGCGCGACTCAGTTTATCGTAATTCATGTTTGGTTTATTCTTCCTCTTCCCCCACTTCCGGGCAACTTCTTCCGGGTCGACCATTCGGAATTCTCCGCGTCCTCCGTCCCATTTGATGCAACTGGTGTGACCTTCGTCCAGCAATAGTTCCAAAAGAAACTGCCACAGCTGCACTTGACCACCGGCTTAAAGAAAGAAAGAAAAAATATACCACATTAGGAAATTTTGTGTAAGAAAGAATCATGTCGAGTCATCTTCAATGGCGTCCACCAACATCCTAAACCCTATTATCCATAACTTCATTAATATACAAAAGTAACACTAATACAAATTAGTAATTAGATCAATTCGCAGGCATTTAATGAACTATTTGTAAAAAAAATCACTTGATCGACATTGCCATCAACGTTTCCATTTTTATATTTTTAATCGCTCTTTCCATGGCAAATGTTCTGACATGCTATATTCATTAGTTCCAATTTTTCCGACTTTTACAGTTAGGATCCACCGTGCCACGTACACAGGGTTGACTCATTGTTAAGAAGAAAGTTTCACACAGGCAGTTTCTTTCCGAGAATAGCAACTTTGTGGAACAGACACCCGAGAGGTAACTACAAACTTAACCTCTTCAAATCTAAGGTCAATCGTAATCTATGTTACGTATCTTCATAATCTGCACTTCCTCCTCCTACGTCCCAACAACAAGCTCACTCAATAACCCTCTACCTTGCGTGGCTCTTGGGCCTTCTATTGGATGAATATTTAGTAAAAAAATATCAGTTTTGTGTAAGGTTGTGTTATGTTGGGACCTCCACAATAAAACACGATACTTAAGGTTTAAAATGATTTTTTTTAATGAAAATCTTTTTTGAATCTTTTTTTAGTTTTAATTTCAAGCTAGTAGATTAAATTTAATATTTCCAATAAGCAAAATACTTTACTGTACTTCAAAAACTAATTTAAATTGACTGGAAATAATTTTTTGTTGCTAAAATAGCTTTCTTAGTTGTCTTTCCTCGCAATGTAATTCTCACTGCTTTTATTTGATATAAATATGAAAACCGTGGAATTTTAATTTCTCAAAAATACTTAAAAATTAAGTACGTGAAAAGATTTTCTAAAATCATTTGCGAATAAGATCTGAAAATTTTATTAAAATCCCACAATTATTTGATTTTCGCAAGAATTTCCAAAAACACACTAAATTTCCTAATACTAATCTTACGCCCAGCCGCTGACGTCAGAAAAACAAGATTTATTAACCAAAAATACTTTGGTCTTTCCTTTTAATAATAACATAAATATTTTAACGATAAAACTTTGTTTTTTTTTATTAAGTTTGAGTCATGATATCGTGGGCCAATATCTGCACTAGAAAAGGAAGGAACCCGGTTAGAGTGACAGAACATGTAACAATTTGATGGGACTTTACGATAGACACAAACAGAACAATGAAAGCTAATCGTTCAGACATCGTGATCAAAAACCACAAATACAGAATGTGCTTTCTTATTGATACTGCAGTCCCTGCAGATTGCAATGTATTTTTGAAGATCTTCAAAAAACTATCAAAATACAAGAACCTTGGAGAGGAAATCTAAAAGATGTGGCGCATGAGGACATCATTAAATCCAGTTGTAGCTGGATTCTACGGAAAAGAGTTCGTTAAACTCAAAGAAGGGATTCCTGGTTGATCATGCCTTAAAGAAATACAAAAAAAACTATACCCACAAGTACAGCTAACACATTACGAAGAGCTTTATCTATGTAATATGTGTGTGATCTTAAGGGTTTTTTTAGGTTAGGGGTAAAAAAATGATCAGTGACACACGTTATGTAGTCATTTCTGACCTTAGGTCTCTGGTTGACACCGGAAAGATATATCAATAATAATAATAATAATAATAATAATAATAATAAAAACAAGTTCAAAATGGAGTTTCAAATGGAATCAGCAATACAAGTAAAGCACAGTATACCGGCTGAAGCTGCAAAATACATAAAAAAGAAAGCAAAAACAAATGCAACCGACCAGATACAGAAACAATGTACAAGCTGATGTAGACAAGCCCCATACCCACAAATGGCTACATAGTGCAGGGTTAAAAGCTGAAACGAAGGTTTTATCCTTGCTGCACAGGATCAGTGCTTGTTAACTAGAAATAATCAAGCACAAAACTAAAATACAGTGTTAGCCCAAAATGCAGGTTCTGTGATAATTACTCAGAAACAATCGATCATCTTGTATCAGGTTGCACAGTATTGGCACCCACTGAATATAAAACCCGGCATGACAGAGTTGGCCAATATCTACACTGGAAAATCTGCAACTTCTACGGAAAGGAAACTGAAAGAAATTGGTATGAACACCACCCAGACCCGGTTACGGAGATAGGACCTGTTACAATTTAATGGGACTACACAATACACACACAAAAAAAGTGCCACCTTATTGATATGGCAGTCCCTGCGGACTGCAATGTATCTTTGAAGATCTCAAAAAGCTATCAAAATAAAAGGACCTTGAAATTGAAATCTCAAAAATGTGGCACATAGGAACATCAATTATCCCTGTTGTAGTTGGAGCCCTAGGATTGGTTGGAAAAAAATTCAGTAGACTAATTGAAGGGATTCTTGGAAGCCCATGCCTTAAAGAAATACAAAAAATTGTTCTCACGAGTACAGCCCACACCTTACGAAGGGTTTTATCTTTGTAATTTTTTTTGTGTCAGTGGAAAATGTCATGATGCCATTTCTAACCTTAGGTCTCTGGGTGGGACCCGGAACGAAATGTGTACACACCAGAAATCAAAGGAAATAAAAATAATAATAACAATGACGAATGCTCTGTTGCTACACTAGGTATGAGTCACGTGGTTTCTGGTCATAATTGTTTATAGGTGTTAGCATGTATATGTTTTATCTTGGTGAATTCAGATGGTTATAGTAAATATCCAGACCCACAGATTTGCGTGTCAATTACCTAATCTTAACCAGTTGGACATGTCTCCTAGGAACTGAGGCACTGTGTATATCTGTTCATTGGCGGGAGTAGTAGAGGAGTATCATAGCTGCGGATTGAGAGTGTTCTTTATTATTTGAAAATCGAGACAGCCATAACGATTTGGGAGTCATATATTTGAAAAAAAAAACCTTTAGTCGGGGATCGTCTGAGGGAACTAGTTTAACCGACATGAAGTTATTTCTAATTGGTGCCCACCTGTCAGCTTAAGCGCTGCTTTTATCAAAATCTTTCGCCATCTTCTTCTTTATGGGGCGTGTCTCCTCAGGATGTAAGCGACTATGGCTCTCCACAATATCCTGCCCCTTTGTAGCTCTTAATAAATTTTGTCTTTTCGTTATTTCTCTTAAAACCTGTTCTGTCATCTATTTACTTAAGCTCATTAAATATGTTATGCGTTGTTTTCTTCTGTCCCTCTGACTCTCGATCTATCCTGTGAGGATCAGATTTTCCAACCCTTCCTTCCTTATGTGCCCCAGATTTCAACTGCCTCTTCCTGATGTTAAGTATAAGTTTCCTTTTTGTTTCTATTTTTGCATGTGCAAAACATTAACAGACTGCGTACAATTATGGGGACATTGGGTTTCGTGTATTTGTACTATAGTGTCATTCTGTTGCCATGTTTCTCTCTGACTTTCTACTACTAATAATACTAATACTAATAGTAGTTGTAGTAGTAGCAGTAATAATTCGTCTTTTTGACTGACTGAGACTAAATAATACCCCGTCTTGTTGGCGGTGTTAAAGGTTCAGAGCATCAATTTTAGTTTAGAAGGCAAATGAAGCCAGAAGTAAAAGGATTAATGGCAAAACATATGATTTCTCCAAACGAGTCAAGTCAGTCATTTCAGCGAGTAAAATGATAGACTTTGTTCAGAGGAGCAGAAACGTGACACTCCTTCGTATTTATTTGATGAGGCCAAACGCGGCAGACATTTTGCCGAGTGAAATGATTAGAAAATACATTGAATTTTTTATGGTTGAAAAAGAGAAAGATAATTGGTTAAGAAAAAGAGGGAGAAGAATAGGGGAAGAGGCAAAAAAGAAGGAAACAAGAAAAACGAGAGAGGGGGAGATAGGCGGAAAAAAAGAAAATGAAAGATGAAGTGAATAGAATCCTTTTGGGTTTGTAAAATTCGTTAAAACACACACACAATGGAAAGAGTGATTTAAGCGCAATCAGAAAAGAAGAAAACAAAGAAAAGGGAAAGAAGGAAGGAAGGAAGAAAAAAGAAAGAAAAGAGGGAGGAAAAAGAAAAGAAAAGGGAGGGAAAAAAAGGAAGAGTAAAAAAGAAAAAAAGAGAAAGGGAACAAAAAAGGGAAAAAGACGAAAGATGAGGAAGGAAAAGGAAAAGTAGGAAGAAAAAGAAGAGAAGAATAGAAAACATAAAGAAAGAAAAAGGAAAGAAAAAAGGAATAAATAAAAAAAGAAAAAACGAAAAAGAAGTAAGAAAAAGGAATTCTAGAAAGAAAAAGAAGACTAGAAAACAAGGAAAAAAGAAAAAGAATGGAAAAAAACGAAGAGAAAAGGAAGAAAACAAGAAAAGAAAGGAGAAAGGGAAAAGAAGCAAGAGTAAAAAGAAAAGTAGAAAGAGAAAGGAAAAGTTTTGTATGAAGAAATGGAACAAAAAAAAACAAAAAAAACAACAATGGAAAAAGAAAAAGCAAGAGAAAAAGAGAAATAAATTGACAGAGCAAAAGAGAAAAAGAATGTAAAAGTGTAAAATGTCAAATGCTGCAGGTTTGGTTTGTTTGAGTGAAACACCCAAATGATCACAGTTGCTGAAGTTGAACAATTTAGCTCCACCCGTGCATCCTATTTGCTTACCTCTGAAGGTCGGCAGGGCCAAATACGTGTTACGCTTCGTTTCATGAGGACACGCCCAAAACTGCAGGTGTTATTCTCAAAGACTGTCCCTTTCTATGTGTATCAAAAATTTGATCTATTTTTATAACGATATATCGCAACCTTTTCCTTTTTTTTTTTCTGAGACGCTAACCACATTCTCAGCAAAGCGAATATAGAAATGCCGACTAAAAGCCCAGCGCTGAAAACATGAATAATGAAGTGCGTCCATCGTTATGCCGGCGTTATGAAAATGTCGGAACTGCACGGCACTGTCAACGCCCTTTCTTGTTTGCCATCTAGAGAACAATAAATTTCAGTAGAACTAATAAACTAATAAAAAAACAAACAAAAAACAAACAAACAAACACAGAAGACGACTAAATAAAAATAAAGTTGTATTTCTTACTTGAAATAAAAGATCTGAGATCTTGACTTCCATCTTCATCAACGTCATTCATTTTTCCATTGTAAGGAGCTGAAAAATGAAAGAAGACATTTTAAATGCTGCATTCTCATAAATTATTTGAAATAATATTATATATTTTCTCATTCGTTTCTTTTATTTTGGGAGCTTACGTCCACATCACGTTGAAACAACGGTTCCTGTACGATCACCGAAGTTAAGCAATATCGAGGCTGGTCACTTGGGAATACCAGTTGCTGTAAGCTTGCATGTGCGAGTGATGTAATGGATAATGGCTCAGAACTGTTAATCAGAGAACCGAGTTCCAATCCCCCTTGAGGCCTTTATATTCATTTACGCGCAACTACCTTTTGGAAAGGTATGAATATAATTCTTCTCCTCCCTCAGCTATGGGTTAATTAGTAAGAATCACTAAAGTCTTATTATCTACAAAAAAATTCTTACAATTTAAAAAAAATATTTTATGACTTTAAATAACCTGCAGAGGGTTGATAAACCGTAAAAAGGATTCAATCAAGCAATCAAACTTTCAATGGCAACGTGAATCTCTTTCTTGATGAAAAATTAAAAAAAAATTTTTTTTTCTTTTATCAGTATTGAGTATCTATCGATTCAAAGCGGGTGGGTATAAACCGAAAAGCCGAGTTCCAATTCCTGTAGAGGGTTTAAGAATGTTACCAAAAAAGATCTTTGAGAAAAATGAGAAAGGCATTAAAATATCGATGACTTCTCATCCACATAAACTTCTCTTGGAGGTCTGTGACTCAGAAATATGCAAGAACAAGTGTTTTACAGGTTCTGTTCATTTATAAACCACGATGTTCAGATATCAGTGACACTGATTTGCTTTATATCGATTATAAATCGAAGTGATTTTATGCGATGCAAGTTTAGTATTTAAGGCTCTATCTTCTGTCGTAAAGTCTTACCACTTTTTTTTTTATTAACGATCTACCTTTTGACATTGTTAGATCATTTGTAAATATCTATGCACATGATACCACAATTTATAGCTCGTAATATCAGGATAATCCAAGCCTTGGAGCCGATCTCTCCTCTCCGACTTCTAACAGCTCAATAAGGGAAATAACTGACAAGTAACTTTCAGTACCTCAAAAACCAAGGTCGAATCGCTTTATCATCACAGATCAGAGTTTGTGTTTTCTTCAGTCAAGATGAACGGTTGCTTTCTCACAGAGGTTCCATGTTGGGGTTAAACTCCGGAGTTCAAGTGGAATTAATATATACAATCGATCACTGAAGATGCTGGAAAACTGGCCGGCGCATTCAAATGCTTCAGAATGTAACAGACTCCTTCAGGCTTCAGCCAAGTTTTATCTCGACTTGAGTCAGATTGGACCAAAAATACGGGATTGCTGTCATACCTAAACTATCAATTCTCATCTTGATCATGTTCAATGTCGTTTACGCGGCCTTGTTGGGAATGACATATTATTCACTTTTCAACCTACTCTACTGCTTTTTCCATGGCAAATGTTCAGATGAGTTCCATGCGGCGTCCATGGAGTCGAAACATCCTCATTCCCCGTGTATTCCAAACTTAAACAGCTCTTTCCACTCTGACAGTTTCTCCTCCATAACTACTAATTATGGAAATAAGCACCTCGAGGTGTTAGGATGATCCAAGCCTTGGAACTGATCTCTCTTCTGACCGAGCTCTAACAGCTTAATGGGGAAATAACTGACTTGTAATATTTCGTATTTCCAAACATAAAACAAAACACCTTAAATTAGTTATCATCAATATTTTCAATGACGATAAACATTATAAGTTAAAACTCCCACAATATATTTTTATGCACGCAAGAACGCAGAGTCATGGTGCAATATTTAGCATACTTGTCTCATTAGATCAATTACGACTGAATAGTGAGTTCGATCCTCACTAGGTGCCCTATACATGTAGCCGTGTGACACATCTAAGCTACGCTTAGTAAATCATATGCAAATAAGGACAGTGCGACGTAGAGTAATGGTTAACAAGCTTATCTTGCTAGTAGTATGTTTGATGCTCCATACTTACAGCCGTATACACAGCTAAGCTACGTTTAGTGAATCTGTGTATTTCGACTTTGCGTAATGGTTAGCACGCTTATTTTGCTAGAATAATTAAGACTGAGTAATGAGTTCGATCCTCATTGAGGGCATCACACGTTCTGCTTTGGGCCACATCTAAGCTACTCTTATTAAATCGGCACTTCAACGTAGTGTAATGGTTAGCAAGTTTTGCGTGAATTCATGTCCAATACTTTCGGCACATCTAAGCTACGCTTAGTAAAGTAATACTTCCTTATAACTATATCTTTAAAAATTAACATTGGTTGGTTAAAATCAATTTTATTGTGAAAACATTGACTTGTATAATATAATTTGACGCAATGCATATGCAAATATGCTTGTGCGTGTGTCACTTTGAACTACATGAGTCCTTTTTTATATGCTTGATATATTGGTCTCATATACTTAACCTATACCCAAGAGTATTTGAGCATGAGGGAATGTAACGAACTCGACTGGAATTCGAACTCTGCTATCTGGTTTCTACTTCCAAGCCGCATATCCAAACATTCAAATTTATAGCATCTGGTATTTCCAAGTGATATGGCCTTAAATCCATCTATGGATCTTAAAATGATCAAAGTTGAAACTCACCTGTCCCTTGGCAGCAACTGTAACCTGGCTGACATTTGCAATCTTCAAAAAAAAGAAAAGAAATGGTTTATCGTTAAATTTTGATATTTTATCGAGATAGAAAAAGACATTTCTTCTTATCAATCAAAGAATTTGACTTACACTATTCCTCTTCTGTCTTTTGTTCTTATTACCGTTGCTTTCTACTTGATAAACTTACAAAATAATTGTTGCTTTAATGATGATAACTCACTCTTGAGTTTTGCAGACGATTCAATTATTTTATATTTGACAATTTTGTTTTGCTTTAATGATTGAGGGAAGAGTAGACACGGTGGATAGTGGCACGGATTGAGGAATCGGACAGCCGAGTTCGAATTCCAGTCGAATCCATTACATTCACTTACGTACAAAAAGTATGAATCCTCTCCTTCTTAAGCTATGGGTAAATTAGCAGGACAGACCGGGTACTATAGCCTTGAATGGCAACTGGTCTACCGCAGAAAGAAATGGCAACCTACTGCGGAGAAAAATCTGCCTCGTCAGTCATGTATCGAAACATACATGATCGCCTAAGCGTGTATCACGCATGGCACAGAGGGAAGAAATCTCCTGTTCTGAGAGATTAAAATGTTTTCTAAAATATATATATTTAACTTATAATAACTATAATGATATAAACTGAGATTTTTACCATAAGTCCAATGCAATTTTATGCCTTCAATAAATTCAATGGTTTTAACATATGATAAAATGAAAATGTTAGTGTTTTATAAAGTTTTAATTGTAAAGCTGACATTTTGAATAAATAAGATATTTATAACGTCTTCTCTGCTATTTATACTGTCAAGAATATTCTTTGAATAATATTGATCATTTCTTCTGAATGTCCTTTGTTAAAATAATATTCGACATAAATTATACGTTCTATAAATCATTAGGATCGTAAGGGCGCCACATGTAATGTTGCCCTAGCAACAATGATATATCTTGTACAAGATCACCATCCCTTTTCTGACAAGTTTTGATTTCGGAGTTTTCCTTTTCTTAGATTGGTTGCCACCTTAAGGCAAGAGAGCTCAGTCTGTTCCGCTATTTAAGCCATATCTGGAGGAAGTTGAATTTTTTTTCTAAAAGCATTAGGGTGAAGTGAACGAAATAACATCGAGCGGGAATTGAACACTGAATTCATTTTCCACTCTGATTCACTCTTACACTATTCACACCTTCTGTCACTTTGTTTACTTTTGAAATTGTTCTAACCAGACAAAATTGTAAAGAATTTTAGTCAGATTGTATTTATGAACAGTTATGGCTCGATACTTACAAGGATAACACATATTGCGTGTTTCTCTGCGATAGGGTTCCATCAATTCCGCCTGGTTTTGCAATGAATGAGAATAATTGCCGATTGACTGGTATTCATTTTTAATGGTGTCCGAAGTATTCGAGCCGAGACTTTGGTTAATGTTATATCGCTTCATGTGTTCTTCGTACGATGGAGGATTTTTGTTGAACTTGGTCCCCACTTGATAAGTGTCGAGTTCAAGGTTCGATTGACTGGCAATGGCACACGGAGCCGGGTAAGTCGTAGCGAACATGTTTGGAAGACTTTGATCTTCATCAGCCAACCAGTTGTGGATGTTCATCATGTCTGCATCCACATCCGTAAAATAACGCATATCGTGACAAACTAAAACCTGTAAAAAAAAAAAGAAAAAGTAAAAATAACTTTCTCAGAATGAAACAAAAATTGTGCGTGCATTTTCTTGGCATTAAATATTCAGAAATATATTCCTTGTTTTTGAAAAACAAAAATCAATATGTTGATTTGCTGACTGATTTTTGATTTTGAGTATTTAATTTAATTCTGAAGTTCACCCGATACAAGACTCGAGAGCCACACAATGTAGAGACTTACTGTTAAAATGGTTATAATGAATGGTGTGTGATATGAATGGAAAAGGAGGTGATAAGAAGTGAACGATATGAGGCTAAGAAGGATGGATAATAATTGAAACGACTTGAAAAGATTAAGATTGTAGTGTTCGAGGAAGTATCCACGTGGGAGTTTGTTCTACAAAGCGTCTGTTCCTGGCTATCTGAGGGGAACTTGCACATTACAACTGAAATAGAGAGCAAGTGCAGAGGATTCGTGTCCGTGTAAATAGCAGGCAGGTCTTAGCTGTAAAAAGTTGAACTAATGGAACTAAAAAACGTAAGTCAGCTGAACATTTGCCATGGAAATAGCGATAGGTTGGCGACATTGAGTTTATGGGGGTAAAGGCTGCGAAGTGGACAATAAGTCCCCCACCCCATAAGATCATGTAATCGATTTTGAATGTTATTGAAGCTGGAAAGTTAAGCAGCCCTGGCACAGAAATAATCTATTTTTGGTTTCATGTGACATTTGTAAAGATACAAGATGGCAGAAGAACATATTGAAGCTATATAATGAGCCAACGATTTATGTAGGATCTTTAACAGCATATATATATATATATATATATATATATATATATATATATATATATATATATATATATATATTATAAATTAATTGATTTAAAATATGTTTTTTTTCGCTACACAGTTCTAACCATGTTTCAAAAATGGAAGCTAAAAGCCACGAATTTAATTTTGTGATTAAATTAAAGACATTAGTTCCATTTCATCCTCAAGCGAATTTTTGGAGTAACTTTTTAAAATTACTGGGTTTTAAATACACAGCTAAAACAAAATTCATGTTTCCAAGGTTACAGATAAATCTATTTTTCTAGACAGGGGTGGCTGGGTTTTCAATATGTCTATAATTTAATGTATCAGTTATTGCTACGTTTGGGTCGTGGGAAGGGATATATTTTTCAATGAAATCTAACTTCCGTTAAAGCCTGTCGTCTAGATATTTTTTTAAAATTATATTGTTAACGGCTAAAATTCTTACGGCCTTTTTATTTATTTTTTTTTATTTATATACATATATATATATATATATATATATATATTTTTTTTTTTTTTATTATATATATATATATATATATATATATATATATATATATATATATATATATATATATATATTATTTAATTATAAGTGATTGTAATAAAAAACGTTGAAATCGCTACACAAAAACTTTCATGTTTCAATACTATGATTGTACTTCTTCAGGTGATGGTAAGTAACTGGTGATTAAATGACTTTTAAGGAAATTTAAAAACAAAGTGTTACCTTTTTTTCGAAAGTGAAAGGTCAGAATTAAAAATAGACTTGTGGGTATGTCTAGATTAACCAATTAAATGTCAGATCTACACTAAATAGAAAAGTAAGCGCAGTTGTCAATGATGGTCTGTCTATGTCTCAGTTTATCATGACATGAAAAATAACTCACCCACATCCACCCTCTGATCTTACTTTTCTATTTACCGTAGCTCTGACATTTAATTGATTAACCAAAACATACCCACAAGTCTATTTTTAATTCTGACCTTATGTTTCCCATTCCCTTTAACTTTCAGAAAAGAAGTAACACTTCGTTTTTAAATTTAAATTTCCTTAAAAAATCATTTAATCACTAGTGGCCAACAAATAAAATGTTTTCTTTCTCTGTGTTTGTGTAGAAACAAGTGTTTATTTTCAAAAAAAAAAAAAAACTTGTATGAAACAAATATTGAAATTTTGGTACGTAAAAATATCGTTGAAACGTATCAGAAAGAAAATAAGCTTAATTTATTCATTAAAATGATTTAATGATTGAATCATAGAATGAGTTTTAAAATAGGATTTTCTGAAATTGTTAAAAACTGATTGCGTAAAAAAGAGAGAATTATATTTGGAGGTCGGTCGATTCACATGAAAGAAAGAAGAATCAGGGGGAAATAAAGGAAGAAAGAAAAGACAAGGACGAAAAGAAAGAAAGAAAGAAAGAAAGAAAGAAAGAAAGAAAGAAAGAAACGAAATCTTGTGTAAAATGAAAGAGAGATAATATTTTTGAAGGAGAGTGGGTGAAAGCACAAACAAACAGATAGAGACAGAGAGTTTATGTGTACATTTATAAAAACAAAAACAATCATTTGAATCGGCATTTTTGACATTTTAAAGCATCATTAGTAAAATGTTGAATGAGATTTACGTGTTTTATGTCCATAGTTTCCTGAATAATAAAAGCTTTTAGAGAAATAAAAGAGCAAAAATGATAAGAAAAAGTAACAAATCTTAAAATGAACCATTAAAATGTCAAAGAAATCTCAGTTACCTTTCAAATGGTTGGAGTCGGTCACAAACTGTGAAAGTCCTTTTCTTTAGCCAAAAACAAACGAACTAAAGATAGCATGGAAAATGAAAGGAAAACAAGGCCTTCCCATTTTTTGCCATAGGGATTCACATATCGAGCAAAGCTTCAATGTAATTTAAATTTACTATATCCGAATTGAAGGTAAAATCTTTCGTCTAAATTATCGCCCCATTTTAGATCAACATGATGAAACGAACGCTGCAAATGTCCACCAGGAAACTCCAATGAGAAAAAAGAAACATTACGAGCTGTTTAGAAAATATAACTTGACTATTTTGATTTTTATAGTGTTTTATATCTTCAAATTTTAATTCATGGGAGAAAAAAGCGATGTCAGGTTGCTATGACTGTTTGTTTAATTTTAATTCCATCAATGGTTTGGCTAACCCTTCTCCAATCAACCGCTGTGTCGTCGAGTTGAAAAAGCAAATACCACATATATGACTTGGCATTCACAGAAACGTCCATAGTAATGATGTACTTAGGCATTGTCAATTCGAAATCAAATGCTTGTGGCAAACTTGCAAACCTGGATCTGATGAAGTTCTTTTCGAAACGTCTAAATGTTAACAAGCTCTCAAAACGTTCCCAAATCTGTCGTTAAAGATTTCAGTATCAAAATTTTGTCATCATTTGTATCTGATCACAAAGAAGCGAAACCTTCACGGAAAAATAGACAGATAAAAAAACGGGGTCAATGTAAATAAAATACAATGGATAGAAAAACAGAAGAATAAGTTTAAAATGATTTTCGTAATAGATTATATCCAAATATAATTATTAAAAACGCTATTATTTGCCAACTCAATGAGTAACTTCTTTAACGAATTACAGATTATGATTCTTGCAAGGCAATAGAAAGATTAAGATAAATATTATGAACAAATTTTTCAGTAATTGAATTCGTAAAGATTTCAAGGCGAGGGATTATAAGAAAAAAATTGGGAAATGCAAAAAGTGAGGTGGGGGAGGAACAAAAGAAAATTACAAAACGAAAGAAAAATAAAATTACGAAAGAAAGAAAAATCAATTTTTAAAACTGAAACTGCAGAGTCATTTTAAGCAATTGAAATATAGAATCAATATTTTCCATTTTCAGTTTTCAAATCCAGTATTTAAAATCAGTTTAGAGATTTCTACCTCGAAAATTATTATTTTTTCTTAAACTAAATTTGTCTCTTTATGCCTGTAAATTCTTTGATTCAATATTTGTAAGGTGATTAGCGTGATATCTGAATCCATATTAGCTTCAAGGATTTGATTTCAAAGATGTCTGTCAAATTGAAGGTCAATGAAAAAACAATAAGCTTTGTAGAGTTAATTTTGCATATAATATATTGTCTTTTTGTTAGAAAATGAAACTGAATAAAAATTTTCACTCTGACCACCAGAACGCGTGAAGAATGTAGATTCACCAAATGTATCAAAGAAGAAATTCGGTTCTTAAGAAAGAAGAAAATGAAAATGAAAATGGCACACTTGGAATTGGCATTCAAATGAAGGTTATTTTTTCGATTTCAGTTTTTTTTTTTTTTCTTTTTCAAATTTCCTTTTTCTAATAATTAACAGTTTTCAATTTGGTTGTCGACACAAAATGGCTAATTACAATCCACTTGAATTTTTATGCACTTTCATTTGTTTAGTCTGTTTGTGTTTTTGTTGCTCAATAACGTAAGATGGCAATACACAGATCCCTCCGCAGATGACCAAAAAAAGTTCCAATCAGATGTTTCTGCACGTATTTTTTCCCACAAGAATATTAATTGATCGGAATCAAAAATTCCAAAGCGAGATTTTTTTTAAATCCTGAAAATCAGTTTCTGTGTTGTTTTCGTGTATTAAACTGTTTTATCGCCCAAAGAATAGCACTCCACAAGGTTATAACTTGAAAATAAGCGCCCTTCAAACAAAGAAGATAAAAAACATGACAAGTCTTTCAAATATCAGTTGCACTGAATTTTTTTTTTTTTTTAGGTTAAATAGTCAAAATAATTTAGATCATGAAAATATTTGTTGCCAACCACGTGTTTATTCTGTGTGGGTCAGACGATATTAAAATGACAAAGCAATAATAAAAATCTTTTCTTACAAAAATGCTGATTTAATTCTCCACACTAAAGGTTACGGTCGACAAAAAAACATTTGCTAGGTTTTCTCGACATTGTTTGCTTATGGAAATACTTCTTGTTCTAAAATTGCATCGTTGGTTTTAGAGATTATCCAAACGTACTTTCTTTAGTTAACAAAACTGTTTGCACAAATCGCTCCTGTGTACTTATTTTTAGTTTTACTTCGAATGTCACAGTTACTGCTGCTCCTGCTGGTTTTGAATAAGTTATGCTTTTCAGTAGACAGGCCGTATCACTGATATTGCGTGAAACATATCCTTCCGCTTTTTTTTTTTTTTTTTTTAGTGATTAACGTCTGATTCGTTTATGCGTAGCAGTTTCACTGTCCTGTGTAGATCAAGAACTAGGACTGCAAGAAAGAAAGACACAGATTTGGATGTCGTTTGAATGGCTAACTGCACACGAATAAATTCTCTCTGATATTTTCGGAGTTCTTATTTCTCTTGTGTCCTTCGATGTTAGCGGACGACATTTAAATGCGTTGCGTCTTCAATGTGTTTTTGGGCGGATTCGATTAATATTTTGCAAGTCAGCAGAAAACTTAATAAGTTGTCAAGCTGCAGAAAAGAACCAGTGAACCGAGGTAAAACTTGCTGTGTTGCGGCCTCGGAGTGCCGGGACACATTTAAACAAGTAATTACACACACGTAGATGGACCCTCTTGCAAACAACAGCAAGAACGTAATGAATTAAAACCCCCCAAGACATTTTTATCATACACAACATTCTCTGCCCATTTATCTATCTGCATTTACTCACATCTTTCTCCTGTATATATATATATATATATATATATATATATGTATATATGTGTGTGTGTGTGTGTGTGTGTGTGTGTGTGTGTGTGTGCGCACGCGCGTGTGGTGTACATGGGTGGGTCACTAATTCCTTCGCTAGTAAATCTAAATATCCAGTAAGTTGGTTGGTTACTAACAGGCAATTATAATCATATCCCAGCACCAATGATAAAAATGTCAATCTTTCGTGGCTACGAGTAACATTATATTCAATTCTTTTTATTCACTACGAAATCATAGGGTGCAATATTGTAGGCATTCACAAATAAATAATTCGTGTACGCCTAATAAATGTAATTCTAGGTTAATGTGGCGATTCAAAAGAATTTTAATCGGGCGATAATGCTGTAGAAATATCAGAGAGCCCTCTTCAATAAACCCCCATAAACAAAGCAAAATTTGAACTTTGAATTTGGTCTGATTGACATTTACGAAAAACGAAATGCTTGCTTATAAGTAGATTTTAATTCAAATGAAGTTTCGGGTAATAAATGTCGTCGTTTGATGAAAAGATAACCAATCAAACAAATCGATTTATGCTGTTTTCTGGAAAAGGTGATGTGCTGTACGTTTTCATTTCAGCCATTTTTTCTAAGAATAATACTGTTCCATTTTAGTCCAAACCAAAGCATATGGCCATAAATATTTCATTTCTAAAATATGCAACAATTTTTTTCTCTCTTTCTTTATTTTTTCTCTGTCTTAACATTCCACTCTCTTTCTTTAATCATCAACCCCATCTCTCTTTCTCTCTCTCTCTCTCTCTCTCTCTCTCTCTCTCTCACTCTGGTCATGTATATTTCATTCATCCCTCTCTCTCTCTCTTTCTCTCTCTCTTTTCTCTCTCTCTCTCTCTCTCTCTATATATATATATATATATATATAATATTTATTTAAAAATATGATTCCAAAACGCTACATAAAAGTCTCATGTTTCAAAACAAAAAAAAACAAGCATACAATATAACACCCTTCATAATCCATAGCCCAAATAAATAGTTTAAATACCCTACAAAAAAAGATAACCCTTTATGAAGTCGTCAAAAACAAACGTTACGACAGTTTTTTTTATATGCAAAATCCCTTTCATAAAAAAAAAAAAAAAAAAAAAAATAAATAAATCTCCATAGACATGCAAACTAGACGAGGGTTAATACATCTTCCGTTTAAAGTTTAGACACCCCTACCTTTCCCTGACTTGACATCTATGAAAGTAACTCTATACTGATACTTATTATTAACACCCAACACTCGCCTACCCAATTTAAACAATTCGCCCTAGCTGTTACCATGGAAATTTTGATTTCAAATTTTAAAACACGTAAATTTCAGATATATGTTATTCCAAAAAAAAAAATTTCGCTTGAAGATGGAACAGAGCTTATTTTAACTCAATTTAATTTTAATAATTATATTGAAGTTTTCGGCTCTTGTTTTGAAACATGAGACTTCTTATGTAGCGTTTTGGAATCATATTTTTAAATAAATAATTATATTTATGCTCTACTTTTGTATCGAGCACTATTTTTTAAAAATAATAACTAAAATACTAAGGGACTTCATGGCCTG